CCTCGACCTGCCAGGCTCCAGCGATCCTTCCGCCTCAGCCTTCCAAGTAGCTGGAACTACAGGTGCGTGCTACCACACCCGACTTTTTTATTTTATTGTAGAGATGAGGTCTTGTCAAGTTTCCCAGGCAGGTCCCGAACAGAGTGGGACTGAGAAAAAAAAAAGCTAAGATTGGCCAGCCATGGTAGCTCACGCCTGTAATGCCAGCACTTTGGGAGGCTGACACAAGAGGACTGCCCAAGCCCACAGGTTCAAGACTGGCCTGGGCAATATGGTGAGACCTCGTCTCTACCAAAAAAAAAAAAATTAAGTTGGGCATGGTGGCATGGGCCTGTGTTTCCACCTACTTGGAAGGCTAAAGTGGATCGCTGAGCCCAGCAGGTCAAGGCTGAGGTGACCATGAGCATGCCACTGCATTCCAGCCTGGGCGAGAGTAGGGTTCCGTCTCCAGAAAAAAAAAAGAAAAGAAAAACTTAGCTGAGCATAGTGGCACATACCTGTGGTTCAGCTACTTGGAAGGCTGAAGCAGGATTGCCTGAGCCCGGCAAGACAAGGCCGTGGTGGCCATGAGTATGCCACTGCACTCCAGCCTGGGTGACAGTGACTCCAAAAAAAAAAAAATACAAAGATTACCAACAAGTTTTAAAGCAGTCTTGTCATCATCATGGTAAATAGTAATTTCATCTCTATTTTCTTCCAGTCCTTAAAGGAAAAGAAATTAAGTCTTCCAGTGCCAATTTGAGGGTCTTCAGAGATCGTCTACACCTTAACAAGGACATTAAGGAAACAATTTCGACGTTCTCCTTGGCAGCGAATACATTAACGGGATCAAATGTTAAAACCAGAAATGCTTAGTGTGGATTTAGCGAAGCACTGATCATTGTATCCAGAAGAACTTATCCTCAGTAGATCTCCCTTAAATGCCCATCACAATTAACGAAAAACCTTGGCCACCTGCATAAGTATGGTGCCTCCCAATGGCAACTGGAACAAGAAACCTTTGGGTGCCTTAGCCATGCATCAAATAAAGTATTGTTCTCCAAGGAATAGTCAATCTTGATCTGGAAAGATGTTCCTCTGTGTATAAAAACACCCCAACTCAGGATAGTTGAAATAGGTATATGTGCTTGTGGTAATCTCCACTGTCCAGGTAGGTGATCAAATTTGGGTAATCAAGATATAAAGGTGTAGTCTAAATGTGAAATCCACACTGCCTTCAAGCCACAAGCAAGCTGAATTTACCTGCTTTGGCTGGAGTTTTGTGCTTCACCTTTAAAAATGGCTTTTATTTTCTTTTTAACAGTGGTTCACACTGGTCTTGCACTCAGTACCTGAAACCCAGTAATCACCCTGGGTATCATTTGCATAATCAGTTTTACTGATGAGCAAACACGTCCAAACGCCTACAAGACATCCTATCCAGCCTTTTTTCTAAAACTCAAATCCAATCAATCCTACCTTCCTTTCCCGTTTTAGGTGCTAAGTAATTAGTCAGTCCAACATCCCCAACCTTTGTCTTTAGCAAACTATTTTGAGGACCACACTGAGCCACTCAGAGACCTTTTAAGTAATAAAAGCTCACACCTTATTGTCAACAGTGTTTTTATTTATACCTACAAAAAGAAAACAAGATGGTATCAAAAAGACAATTTACAAACTAAGAATAGTAACATAGCTCTTAGCATCCTGTGCCTGAACATCACACATCTACAAATCTTTCAAGTCTTAATGCAACAGGAATGTGTTCAGAGACCAGCAAGGACATGAATAGAGAGCACTGATCCCAAGCAAAAGCCACCAACCTTTTAGATGAGAGAAGTCCACACAATGGATCGTTAGGGAGGAATTGGGGAGCAGCCCATAGCTTAATACATTGAAACCCTTTCCCTAAGTTGAGTTTCAACCATGAATGCAGTAACTAGCATCAAACGGTTACTCTGCTCATGTTCTGAAGCCTACAGCAGAACCTGAATTATGAGTGACAGACATGGAGGCAGAAGAGTTTAACTGCTAGATTTCAGCTGTGCTCAGGCCACAATAGCTTTTGAGATTTGGAATTGCTACAATATGATTATAATGTCCCTGGCAGAAAAAGGGAAGCAAGCAATCCAAATAACTGCTTGCTTGCCCAGGGATCTTTCCTGCAAACAGATGCTTTTAAGAGCTGCAAAGGAGAGTAGGCCATTCTCTGTGGTGGAACCTCTATGTTTAAAGGAAAAAACAAAACACCAAAATTTGGGTGCAGAAAAAATTGTCCACAACAGACTGGTCAGTGCTTAGACAAAGTTTGGGGGAAGGGGGAACACTTTGGTTTGAAAGCACCGAATAGTTTTGCGATGTTTTTGCTGTGCCTACCATCCTCCCTTGGCCTCAACTTCTATAAGATGGGGGGGACAAAAAGAGAAGTAAAGTTAAGGAAGAAGAAAGTGGAAAATAAAAAAAGATGTATAAAAGCTTTTACATGCATATATTTCAGCTTATGCTGACAACCTACCTGTATGTTGCACATTGAATCATACTTTCAGAACCCCTCAGAAACCATCCCTTCTGTCTCCCTGAAGAATTTTAAAAGGAAAACAAAAACAAAAATCCTCAAGTACTTAGATCTTACAAACCAGCAGCATCCTTAAGCCTTAGCCAAAGAACGCAGTGGAACCCTCCCCTTCTAACTGCAGTTTAAATGAACACCAATTAGCAACATAAAAATTAACAGTCCACATTGGATCTGGAAGAAGTTTCTGGGTCTGTTTGATCTCTATATCCTGTTATGGTGAACATAGGAGCAGAAAATTCTTTCCAGGCCCACCTACTTTAGAAAGTCTCGGCAAAACAGCATTACTATGAAGAGGCCGAACTCACCTACCTTCAGAGAGGAAAAGCAAAAAGGACTTAGGCTTTAGTCCTCCATAACATTTCTTAAGCACTACCTACCTGTAAAAAGCTGAGTGCAAAAGGATGCCGAGGAAAATGTGCACCCAGAAGCTGTTATAAAGCACTGTAGAGAACAGAGTGTGAAGAGAATGAGTCTTTAAGATTCTTTGTTCAAGATAATTTGGCCAAAAGGGCAGAGTAGCTGGGAGAGCGCTTTTATTCTATCCTGACACTGCATTTGAAAAGAAAATCTGCCCATTTTTGAGTTTATTCTGTTGATAATTAAAGGTGTTTTTTACACTGCAGGTGAACGCATGCTCAATGGTTAATAACTAAGTTTTCAGTGAACATTCATGTTCATTTGCTCACAGCAGCTGTATGGTTGGAAAACGAATTTCAGATGGTTGCTGATATCAGGAAAAAAAATACGCAGTTTCCACCCAGATGCTGAGATGCTATAGTTTATCCACTGCAATGAACACTTGTGGTTTTTAATTTAAAAGATGCACTTAAGACTCAGCAACTCAATTTCTAACCTGACACACTAAAACGATTATTTTTTCAGTAATGGGGGGGAAGCAAAGTGTAAAGGGAGATAAAGCCAATTAGTAATTCTGAAGTAATTGCAAAGCACTGTCTTAAAAACTCATTGGGCCTGAGGAACCCTGCTCCAACTTTAGAAATATTAAAAAGCACTATGGAAAATGTGCAGGGAACTCCCTCTTGGTTTACTAACCAAATAATGAGAGCAATTTAAAGCACAAGTGCCATCTTCTTCTGCAGAACAATTCAGCCCTCCCCCCTCCCCCCCAACTCAGGACAACAAAAGATGATGGGCTCCCACAAAAGGGCCTAATACATTACTCATTTTTTAAAGATGAAAAATAGCTCAAATATCCTCAACATGCAAGAAGTTGGGGGAAGAAATTAATCTCTTCCAGTCGGCTATATATATATATTTTTTACAAAATCTGTTATTACAGACTGGATCATTTTGGCGGGCATAAGAAACCTGGCAGTGAATTCTAACTAATTTGCGTGAAGACAAATCACAATGGTTGGGGAAAAAAAAATAAAAAAGAAAAAGAAAGAAAAGGGGAAGAAGAAAAAAAAAATAAAAGACAGTGTTCCTTAAAATGCAATTAGGTCTGCACAAGTCACTACCACTTGAGTGGCTTCATTTACGTGAAGAAGGAGGAGGGGGAGGAGGAGGAGGAGGGTACTGGTAGGCAGTCTGCCCCATGTAACCTATCATATTGGTAGCTCCCGGAGGCTGTGCGAACTGTTGTGACATCAGTGGCTGTGGCTGCTGCCCAGACCGGCCTATCCCACTAAACTGCTGGCTAGAGCTCTGTGAACTTCTCCCAGTTGAGGTGGTGCTACTAGCTCCATAAGTGCCAGCACCATATTCTTGGGCTGTATAGCCACTGGTGCCATAGGCAGCTGCCCCATAGGTGCCTTGACCATAGGTGTATTGGCCAGCTTGTGCTCCAAAGGCAGAATTTGGACTTCCATAGCCACTTCCATTAGCATAACCAGCTCTATCAGCTTCACCACGATCCCGATAGCTTGCAGAGTCTCTCCGGCCACCATCTTTGACTCCTCGAAGCCTCCGGTCACACTCATCCTGATACATCAGATTGGGATTATTGGCTGAAGAAGTGGTCCGGTATCGAGAACGACCTCCTGATGAGAGGATACAAAGAATGTTTAAATGTCAGATATAAAATTCAAACACAATCACATTTAAAAACTCTTAACTTGGTACTAAACTATCAACGTGTTTCCTTGATCTACTAGGACAGCCTCTAAATGAATACTCGAGTCCATGGGTTTGAGACCAGCCCGGGGAACTTGGTGAGACCGCATCTCTACAAAAAATCAAAAAATTAGCTGAGCATGATAGCCTATGCCTATAATTCCAGCCACTTGGAAGGCTGAGGCAGAAGGATCACCTGAGCCCAGAAGGTCAAGGCTGCAGTGGCCATGAGCATTCCACTGCACTCTAGCCTGGGCGACAGAGTGAGACTCCAACTAAAAAAAACCCCAACAAAACAAACAGAAAAATCTCTAATTTGATTCTTTAATGGAGCATATTCAAAAGCATGGTAAACATTACAGTATATTCAACTTTTTTACCTTCTTAGGCCCCTAGTTATCCTTGAGGATAACTAAGAAATACAATCTTAGAATATCAAACTGGAAGTCAGGAAGCATAGCTTAGGTTATTTTTTGCAGCTGTGTAGACCCAACTGCTATACATGTCTCTGACACCTTTAAACAGTGTAAAATGAATGATATGTTCATACAGAAAACTGAAATCTAATAGACTAAGCATTTTTGAAGGCATTAAAATTTAGACATGTCTGAGAAAAAAAAAACCCAACACAGCTTAACTTTGAACACACACCACGTACTTAAAAATTCAAAGCTCAGTTTTAGATTAAAACCTACAGAGCCGGGCTCGGTGGCTCAGCCTGTAATCCCGCGCCTTTGGGAGACTGAGGTGAGTGGATTGCCTGAGCCCGCGGGTTCAAGACCCGCCCGGGCAACTTGGCGAGACCGCATCTCTACAATAAAAATAAAAAATTAGCCGGGTGTGGTAGCGTGCGCCTGTAGTTCAAGCTAACTGGAAGGCTGAGGGGGAAGGATGGCCGGAGCCCAGCAGGTCGAGTCTGTGGTGGCCGGGAGCGGCCACTGCACTCCAGTCTGGGCGACAGAGTGAGACTCCAACTCAAAAAAACAAAAAACAACAACAAAAAAAAACCCCTACAGAAATATTGTGCTACAGAAGACAGTCATGACAAAATTCACACTTTCTTACTTAGAAGGATATGAAAACTATTAGGCACTGTCCTTTGTTATTAAGCAACATATTTATTTAAAGGCTTCATATCATTTTAAAAAGGCACAATAAGTATAAAAAAGATACCTTGGTAGTACCTGGAAAACTCCAGGACTTACCCTTACCCCCTCCTCCGCCGCCTCCTCTGTGGTCCACCAGCTGCATCAATTTGGGATTGATAGCCTGATTAGCCTCTTCCAGCACTTTGATCAGCTCTCTAGCCTGCTTTAGGTTCCCTGGGGTGAAGAAGGTATAGGCGGTGCCCTTGTTGGTGCTACGGGCTGTTCGACCAATACGGTGTACATAATCCTCTGAACTGTTTGGATAGTCATAGTTGATCACAAACTTGACATCTTCCACATCTTCCAAATCAACGATGAGTCAGTGTGTAGGTTGATGTGGCAGGGAAAGAGAAGGTAAAGGACATGCCAACAGGTGGGAAGCACGAATGCAGATGACAGCAAGAGGAAAGAAGATGAAGTTAGTAACCACTCTGGACAGAATCAAAAAAAGACTCATCCCAACAGAGTAAAAGAGGATTAGTGATTCCTGGGACATGCATGGGAAGTGGCATCTTTTACTGGCTGTAGAATCCTAAGGGAATCCCATCCAACCATCCAAACTCCTGCCTCTTCTGCACTATAACCAATGTACTGACAGGAGTCACACCAGGGTTGGTCTTCAGACTGGCTAATTCCAGTACTATCCTTTTCAAAACTGAAATGTCAAAGAAAATGGTAACCACCGGTTAAGTTACAAGGCCAAATCACTTCTACTCTGTTGGGAGAAGCCTGGCAAATTCTACCAACAGCATAACAAACTTACCTTTAAACCAGTCACAGAGCAAAATGAAAAAAGGAGCTTCATATACTTTATTACTACATTTTCAAGGAGACTTAATCACAACATTCACGTTAATCCTTTTTTGCTCTTATATTTTTAAGAAACTGATCAGAGCCAAAGTTAAGCACACACCTATTTTCCTTTGTAGAAACACCCGTATTAGCTTTCCCCTTTCAATTACCACGAGAGCACATTACACTAAAATTTCACTGTACTACCAAGCCCAGCTTCTGCCAAATGAGGTTTTTTGCTCAACTCAAGGTTATTTTAACTCAGTATTTGTTTCAATTACCAAAGATTGTCTATGTGACCTAGGATATTAATTTAACAGTCAAAGAATGTGGGAAAAACCATGAAACCTTGAGACACAAGTTTAATATTCTGTCTACTGCTGGGAATTGGGCTGAATAACCTAAAGCTTAAAATATGTAAATGTTAGTGTAATGCTTTCAGCTAAATGTATATTTTTTAACCTACTTAAACAAACAAATTTAATATAACAAAGAATCCTACTGTTTTGTGGAAAAAAAATCTGCATTTTACAAAGAATATTCAGAAAATATCCTAGATAAAACACAGATTTTTTGTTGATATAAATAATTAAAAAACATTCTCTGTTTGTTACCAGACCGATGCACACTCCCTCCTCCTTTGGGAAACCGCTGCAGCCGATCCCGTCTCTTTGCCTTTTATTTTTGGCGGCCTCCTTTCGAAAACTCCGCCTTCTGACACGGGACCACTGGAGCGCGGGGAGCATGCATCAAGGGTCCGTGGCAGTGAGAAGTCCCCACACACGCTCGCTCTGTGAACTGGCTTAGATGCTTCTCTGTAGCCCCATTTGGTTGCCAAGCGCCGGAGAACCTGGGTTCGGGTAAAAATTTCAGGTCCTCCAACGCCTCCCCCAAGGATAATTGGGGTGATTGTAGAAAAAAATAATTAATAAAAAAAAATGTAAGTTACATCCAAAGGGTCAGACTGCATCTATTGCCCAGACTGGATTAATTTCAGGGGAGAAAGGGGAGATGATTAAAAAAAAAAAAAATCAGCTGTTGTTACAGGGCTCGTGAAGAAGGGGCATTATGTCTGTTTCTTATTACAATAAAGGCTCCTCGGTCTTTACTGACCCCTAAAGTCCTGAATCACACCAGAAAGACGAGAAGGCACTTATCACAGGGGGCAGCTTGAGTCTCCGGCTAGGGTCGTTGATTCAACAAAGGAAAAAAAAAATTTACAGGGCCAGGATGGATGTAAGGTGGGGGATGGGGAATTATACTCCATGACATCTTCAGAGCTAGGATAATGCTCCTGAGACAGTCCCATGGCAGCAGCAAGTTGAATTACGGCACTGGATGCACAGAAGCGTGCTTTCCTAGCAGAAAGCACTGTATTTCGGTGGGGAAGGGGGGATGATTCAACAGGGGGTAGACATGGTGCAAGTTCTTCATACTAGAAAGGCGTCCTGTGTGTACATACACACATAGCTGGCTGGGGGCACATAAGAGCAAGCGCAGAATTAGATTTTCTCCAGGCAAGCCTACTCTGATGTTATCTGTGCACTGCCACAATATTATCTTGCTGCCTTTTTAGAAGATGCTGTAGCAGGGTAAGAAACAGAAAAGTTAATGTTTTGGCCAGCTGCCTGGGATAAGAGCCTTTTGTCTGAAAAGCCCTATGACATGGCCTGAATCTCCAAACACTAATTAGAAGGGACTAAGACTAGCCAACAGGCTATCTAGAGCTGCTTCGGGCCAATGTAGATTTGCCTCGGCCATGTACTGAGTGATCTGCAGCTGATATCAAAGCTTCTGTTAAAAAACAAAACAAAATAAATTCAATACTTTTAGTTTAACAGTGTGTAGTTTAAACAAAAAAAAGGAAAAATAAAAAATATCTCAGTGGAAAGGGAATAGTGGTAACCTGAGATCGACTACTGTAAAGTTAGGGGAATCAAAGAACTTACCTGAAGGGGAACATTTAAGAAACCATCGCTCGACAGGAAGTGAAAAAAGGCCTGGTGACTCAGCTGAAAATTGCACCCCTGTCTATGAGGTAGAAGCCTTCACTTTCCAGGATCTTGTAGGACATTGGTCAGAATTCTGCCATTTTGGTGGGTTTTCTCTCTCTTGATTTTTACAAGGCAGCAAACAAAGGGGCCCAAAACAAGCACTGATGTTGAGTAACAAGAAACAGACTCAGGTACCTTCCCTCTCCCCTCACTTGGATGAGTGGGGATGGGATGAAGAGTCTAAGTTATTCTAATGGTAGCCAATTAATTTGGTTTAGAAATGCAGGGGGACATGGAGCAAATACTTTTAATTGTCTAGGCAAGATGCACAAAGAAGCTACCAGCACATAGCAAGCCTGTTTAAAAACCACCATTACTGAAAGCTTTTATGTAAACTGCTTTCAGGCCTCCGCCTCCTCTCCCAACAGGCCCAAGTTCTAACGGCACAGATCCAGACATGACCTCAGAGGGCAGAGGGGCAGAGATAACTTTGTCATGGCTGCAAGTCACCACCTCTGAAGGAGGGAATCATGACAGCAATGGATAAAAAGTCTTCATCACTTTGTATTCCAGTTTAAATACGTGTCCTTTTTATATTAAATAGTATAAGGGAATATGATCCTTCTCATCTTACTGGGCAAGAAATTAAAACCTAACAAAACTTGAGAGATATCCTTGTAATAGAAATAATCTCATATTTTAAACTATTAAAGTTTTGAGTTAGACCTGTTTGGCTCAGAATGGGATACTTTACCACAAGAAACCTGTGTATCTTAAGTCATAATGGGTCAAAAACTCCAGAGATCATCTTCAAAGTAAACTCTTAAACTGGACAGCACAACTACAATATGGATGGAAGAAGGGGATAACTGAGTGCCCATAATAATCTTACCTTAGTAAAAAGAACTGGGCAATGCAGACTTAATTAATTGCTGAATGATAAAATATTGCAGACTTATTTAGTAAATATTCATGAAACCGGGCCTCTAAATATATCTAGCTTAGACACACTGGTATAGAGAAAGGAATAACTGAGAAACTAGCTTACAATAGCTAGATTTAATCAGGTTCATTCTATCCAGCAAGAAATAGATCACCAGAAAGAAGCTGAGCTGTTTGTTCAACTGAATGTCTCCTCTCCCTCTCACTGTTTGAATAGTCATGCCTAGGCCTTGCTGCAGACCAAAGCCTGTTTGTTAGGAGCAGGAAGAGACTTTGAAAATAAAAGGGGGGAAAAAAGGGTTACAAAAAATTGTGGGGGGCGGGCAATTATACTTATACTCTTTTCTGTTTAATATTTATCTAAACACATCTGTATATAACTCTAAATTTGAAATTGAAATGACAAATCTTTAAACCAAAGGTAAATACACCATTGACAGAGACACCTATCTATACAAACCTAGCCCACGCGAGGCTACGTCTGTGGCAATGAGGATGGGAGCCTTTCCAGAACGGAACTCTGCAAAAATAAATAAATAAATAAACAAACAAACAATCGAACATTCCTAGCTATCTGACCTGCTTACCCAATCCTATTAAAATTTTAAATAATGGTATCAGAAAATCCCAACTACTTTTAGATATGAGACAATTCTTTCAAAAATCTTTATAGGCTGGGCATGGCGGTTCACACCCATAATCCCACTTTGAGAGGTGAGAGGATTGCCTGAGCCCACGGGTTTGAGACCAGCCTGGGCAACTTGTTGAGACCTCATCTCTACAATAAATCAAAAAATTAGCCAGGTGTGGTGGCGAGTGCCTGTAGTTCCAGCTACTTGGAAGGCTGAGGCGGAATGATCACCTGAGACCAGCAGGTCGAGGCTGCGGTGGCTGTGAGGATGCCGCTGCACTCCAGCCTGGGTGACAGAGTGAAACTTCAACTCAAAAAACAACAACAACAAAAAAAACTTTATCACATTCGTCTTTAGCAGAAGGGCAATAGACAAAAAAATTACCTCTACTAATAATGAAATACCATTAACAATGGCGTGGTGGCCAGGCATGGTGACTCATGCCTGTAACTCCAGCACCTTGGAAGGCTGTGAGATGGAAGAACTGCTTAAGTCTAGGGAGTTCCAGACCAGCCTGAGCAACAGTGTAATCTCGTCTCTATAAAAAGATAAAAAATTAACTGGATGATTCCCAGCTATAACTGCCTGAGCCCAGGAGCTCAATTATGCCATTGTCCTCTACCCTGGGTGAGAGAGATTCTGACACAAAGAACAGTGTGACAATCTATAACAAAATTAACATGAGCTAGAATTCTTTTCTCCTAAAAATTATTTCAAAAATGAAACAAAATTAGTAATTTGAGCGTAGGGAGTAAGCTTTATATGGAATGAAAGTGAAAAATTGTATTTCACCCCCAAAAGATACGCATATAGCCTCTTCCATTTCACTCAATGGCCTTCCTGTAACAGTAGTCCAGAAAAAACGGAGGACTGGAAGGAAATAGGCTAAAACATGACCTAATGATGAAGAACCATTTTACTTTGAACATTTAAGTAACAGTCAAATTTTCCTCAATTGCTTTTATAATCAAAAGAAAAAAAATTAAATAATTTATTAAATAAATGGAAGGGTAGTGTAGGGTGTACAAAAGTGTAAAGACCCAGCATTATGAACCATAAAGAGCCACAAGAACATGATGTTAAGTGTCCCCAACATTCAATTAACTAGAGCAGTGTTAGCAAACTGGCCTGCAAAGCAAATCTGTCAAATGCCGATTTTTGCAAATAAATTATGGGAACACAGACAGGTAAATTTTTTTTTTTTTTAAACACATTGTCTATGGTCCACCACTTTTGTGCCACAACAGGAAGGCTGAGTAGCTGTAACAGAGGCCACCATTTGGTCTGCAAAGTCACAAGTATCTATTATCTGTTCCTTTACAGAAAACGTATCTACCTCTGAAATGTAGCATGGATGTTTTTAAGGGGGGAGAAAAATCCAAAACTGCTTAGTTTTCAACTTACCATTAAGTACCCAATCTCTTTCTGGTTGACTCTTGTCTCCATGGATACACATGGCTGGCCAACTATCGGAAGAAAAGTGACCAGTATTTCAGAAATCTTATAAGAGGAAAACCAAAGTTGTTTTTTTTTTTTAATCGAAGTCTCACTCTGTCACCCATGCTGGAGTGCAATGGCATGCTCACGGCCATCACGGCCTCGACCTGCCGAGCCCAGGTGATCCGTCCACTTCAGCCTTCCAAAAGTAGCTGGAATTACAGGTGTGAGCCACCCCACTCGGCTAACTTTTTTGATTTATTGTAGAGATGAGGTCTCATCATGTTGCCCAGGCTGGTCTCGAATCCCTGAGCTCAGGCAATCCTCTCGCCTTGGCCTCCCAAAGTCCTGGGATGACAGGCATAAGCCACCATGCCCAGCAGAAAACCAAGTTTCAAAGAAGAAATGCTGTAACATAATTTTGAACAGGTTAGGCCTATTGAAATACTATATAGGCTGGGTGTGGTGGCTCAGCCTGCAATCCCAGCACTTTGGGCGGCCAAGGTGAGAGGAATGCCTGAGCCTGGGGGTTCAAGACCAGCCCGGGCAACTTGGTAACACCTAATCTCTACAATAAATCACAAAAACTAGCCAGGTGTGGTGCAATACATTCGCAGTTTCAGCTCCTTAGAAGGCTGAGGTGGAAGGATCACTTAAGCCCAGTAGGTTGAAGACGCGGTGGCTGTGAGCATGCCACTGCACCACAGCTTGGGCGACAAGACTTCAACAAAAAAAAAAAAAGGAAAGAAATACTATATACAAATAGGCCTTATTAAAAATACTATACACCATTCACATACAATTTAGAAACTGCCACTAACTATAAAACCAGAGGTTAACTAATTACTCTGGTGCTGTACTCACCCATCTCTGCGCATCCTTCGAGTCAGGTCATCACAGCGTCTCTTTGTCTCCACAAATATTATTGTTTTGTTTTCCTTTTCAGCCATTATTTCCTCCATCAGTTGGATCAATCTGAAGCCAGATAAAAAATGCAATCACCACACAGAAAAGACCTCCCTATGAACATAAACAGAGCCCAGGTGTAGAAACTCATGCTTGTAATCCCAGAACTTGGGAGGCCAAGTTGACTACATTGCCTGAAGCCATGGGTTTGAGAACAGCCTGGGCAACTTGGTGAGCCCTCATCTCTACAATAAATCAAAAAATTGGCTGGGCATGGTGGCGCATGCCTATAGTTCCAGCTACTTGTAAGGCTTAGGCGGAAGGATCACCTGAGCCCAGGTCGAGGCTGAGGTGGTTCTGAGTACGCCACTGCACTCCAGCCTGGGCGACAGAGTGAGACAATGCAAAAAAAACACACACACACACACTGCTCTGTGTTCCTAAAAGTATTAACTTGCCAAGGTGCAGTGACTCACGCAAAGGCAAGAGGACTGCTTGAGTCCAGGGAATCAAGACCAGCCTGGACAACTTGGTGAGACCTCATCTTTAAAAACAAAAAACAAAAATACAGCCAGGCATAGTGGCACTTGCCTGTGGTTCCAGCTACTCGAAAGGCTGAGGTGGAAGGACCACCCGAACCCATCAAGTCGAGGCTGCGGTGGCTGTGAGCGTGCCACTGCACTCCAGTATGAATGACAGAGTGAGACCCCTACTCAAAAAAAAAAAAAAAAAAAAGAAGAAGAAGAAATATTAACTCATACCATTCTCACAGCAATTATGATGTAGATAATATTAATCCCCATTTCACAGATGAAGAAACTGAGGCACCATAAGGTTCAAACTGTCCAAAACTACACAGCTTGTTAATAATTAGCAGAGCACTGATTCAAATTCCAAGGATCCAGAATCCTTGCCTTTAACTGTAATGTTACAATAAATAATATAATATTTTCAGGCTTACAAAAATATTGGTTTTTCTAACACTAATTTTGGAGAATTATTAGAGAAAGTTTATCATCAGCATTATCAAACCAGAGTGAAATAGTTCATACTTGTGGTCTTTTTCACTTTCCATGCAAACATCCACAATCTGGAGGATGTTGTGGTTGGCACTCAACTCCAGATTGCCTACGTTGATCTGAGTGTAATCACGAAGAAAGTCCTCTGCAAGCTGTCTTACTTCTTTAGGCCAGGTTGCACTCCACATCAGTGTCTGTCTATCAGGCTATTGGGAAAGGAAAAGAATTCTTTTAGGCTAAGGACCTTCAACAAAAGACATAAGACATAAAGACAGCAAAGTATAAGCTTTACACACCCTGATCTGGTCCACAATTTTACGGATCTGGGGTTCAAAACCCATGTCAAGCATTCTGTCAGCTTCATCCAATACAAGGTAAGTACATCTACGAAGATTTGTCTTTCCTGACTCCAGGAAATCTATCAGGCGGCCAGGAGTAGCTATACATATCTCAACACCTGTAAAACAAAAATCAAACATCAAGTCAGTAAGAACTCTTTCCATACACTTTCCATGCCTCAACAAACTAAGCACCAGCCCTAGTGGTTGTATTCAACTGCTTAAAATTTTTCAAAAGAATCCACTATTGACAGGTGCAGTGGCTCACGCCTGTAATCCCAATACTTTGAGAGGCAGAGGGTAAGAGGACTGTCTGAGCCAAGGGGTTCGAGACCAGCCTGAGCAACCTGACGAGACTTCTCCACAATAAAATGAAAAAAAAAAAATTGCTGGGCATGGTGGCGTGTGCCTGTAGTTACAGCTACTTGGAAAGCTGAGGTAGAAGGATCACCTGGGCTCAGGAGGTCGAGGCTGCGGTGGCCATGAGCATGCACCTGGGTGAGAGTGAGACTCTGACTCAAAAATTAAAAAAAAAAAAGGGGGGGGGGGCCAGAAGGATCGCCGGAGCCCAGCAGGTCGAGGCTGTGGTGGCTGGGAACATGCCACTGCACTCCAGCCTGGGTGAAGAGTGAAATTTCAACTAAAGAAAAAAAAAAAATCCACTATTTCCTAATTTCATTCGCAGAAATTGGTAAAAAATAAACAACTCTTATACAATAAACTTTAAAAAATTTACCTCGTTCCAAGTCTCGAATCTGCGGACCTTTAGGAGCACCTCCATAAATACAAGTGCTCTTCAATCTAGAACATTTGCCATAATCATCAGCCACCTGCTGTACTTGCTGGGCAAGCTCTCTAGTAGGAGCCAGCACTAGACACTGAAACAAACAAAAAAAACACCTAAGATACTCCCATCCCAAGTTAAAACAAACAAACAACAAAACACAAAAAGCTATCTTAATTATTTCCCTATTGTCTCATCTAGTACTTCAAAGTATGTCATAAGATGGGGTATGAGAGAGGAGAGAATATAAACAGTATCATTGGAGTGGGGAAAATCTTTTTAAAAAAAATTTAGCATGTGGCAAGATACTGGCAACCACATCATTTGGTTTATTTGGATACATTATTCATCACTGTAACTTATATGTACTATTTAAGTGGATTTACAAGTCATTACCTAGTTTTAGTTATACAACTCCAACTTCCAGGTTAAGCATTCCAAACTGAAAAATCCAAAGTGCTCCAATAAGCATTAACTTTGAGCATCACATATGTGGGCACTCAAAGTTTCAGATTTGGGATGCTTAACCGGTATTAAGAAACAGATGAACAAAAAATGTCAGAGTTAGCTGGGCTCGGTGGCTCAGCCTGTAATCCCAGTGCTTTTGGGAGGCTGAAGTGAGTGGACTGCCTGAGCCCGTGGGTTCCAGACCCGCCTGGGCAACTTGGCAAGACCTCATCTCTACAGTAAATCAAAAATTAGCCGGGCGTGGTAGCGCGCGCGCCTGTAGTTCCAGCTACTTGGAAGGCTGAGGCAGAAGGATCGCCGGAGCCTAGCAGGTCGAGGCTGCAGTGGCCGGGAGCGGCCACTGCACTACAGGTTGGGTGACAGAGTGAGACTCCAACTCAAAAAAAAAAAAAGGCAGAATTAATACGCTTCTGATTTCTAGTTTAAGCTCTTCACTAGGCACACTAGGCAAAGCCAATAACAATTTATACATATCCTGGCCAAAAGAACACAAAATCAAAAACATTAACGAAGAATAAACCTTGCTCTGTGAATTGATCCACTAGATAGCGCCTAATGATAATAATGCTACTAACCATATAAAACATAGTACATATTACATAAAGCAAAGTAAGGAATACTTTTTGTGACATACTGCAAAATGCACATATTCATAAATATATACGGCAAGTAAAAGCTCAATTTTTGAAAAAGTTGAGTCTACAAAATGTTAAGACTACAACTCAAATTTTACAGAAAATAAAATAATCAAACCAAAAATACATTTACAAAAGTATTGTTTAACCACAAAGAACACATACAGGCCACCTGATTTAAAAGCCATAGGGCAGAGACCTCTTTGCATATCCTTACAGTCATCACTGAGCAATTAAGAACTGTATGTGCATTTACTCCACAGTAAGTGCCCACATACCAAAAGAACTATAGTATGCCTAGTTTCTTTAATAAGCCTTCATAGCCAGGTGTGCTGGCTTAAGCCTGTAACCCTAGCACTTTGGGAGGCAGAGACAAGAGACTGCCTGAGACCAGAGGTTCGAGACTAGTCTGGGCAACTTGGTGAGACCTCGTCTTTACAATAAACCAAAAAGGAAGCCGGGCATGGTGGCGCATGCCTGTAGTTCCAGCTACTTGGAAGCCTGAAGCAGAAGGATTGCCTGAGCCCAATGGGTCAAGGCTGCAGTGGCCACCAGTGTGCCACTGCACTTCAGCCTGGGTGACAGTGAGACTCCAATTAAAAAAAAAAAAAAAAAAAAGCCTTCTGGCCGAGAACAGTGGCTTACACCTGTAATCCCAGCACTTTGGGAGGCGGAAGCAAGAGGACTACCTGAGCCTAAGATGTGGAGGCACACATCTGTGGTTCCAGCTACTTGAAAGGCTGAGGCAGAAAGATAGCCTGGGGGGATGGAGGGGGAAGGGGGGAGTGTAAGCTTTCAATTTTTTTTTTTTTGAGCCAGAGTCTCACCTTTTGCCCAGGCTGCAGTGGCACGTGCTGCAGGGGCACGTTTACAGTCATCGCAGCCTCAACCTGCGGGGCCTCAGGTGATCTTTCCACCTCAGTTTTCAAGTAGCTGGCACTAGAGTTATGTGCCATTACACCCAGTTACTTTTCCTTGATTTATTGTCGAGATGAGGTCTTCCCAAGTAGCCCAGGCTAGTCTTGAACCCGTGGGCTCAGGCAATTCTCTCACCTCGGTCTCCCAAGGTGCTGGGATTATAGGCGTGAGGCACAGCGCCTAGCCATTTGGTTCAAATTTAAGCTCAGGCCGGGCTTGCAGTGGCTCAGCCTATAATCCTCATCTCTACAATAAATCAAAAATTTATTTATTGTAGAGACCCCATCCCTACAATAAATCAAAAATCAGCTGGGCGTAGTAGTGCGTGCCTGTAGTTCCAGCTACTTGGAAGGCTGAGATGGAAGGATCGCTGGAGCCCAGCAAGTCGAGGCTGCGGTGGCCGGGAGCGGCCATTGTACTCCAGTCTGAGTGACAGAGTGAGACTCCAACTCAAAAAAAACCAAAAAACCAAAAAAACAAATTTAAGCTCAGTCTTTCAACTGTTGTGTGATCTTGGTCAAGTCATTTAATTCCATGATGAGGAATCTACTTCAAGATTCAGAGGACGGGGCTAAGAGTAAAATCGGATTATGTATGTAACATACAGTGATTGAAACACAATAATCATTAAACTGTAATTATTCTTACAACTATAAACAAACTGAAACACACTTACGATTGGGCCATCTCCCCTTTCCAAGTATGGCTGGTGGTTAATATGAACAATTGCGGGCAGCAAATACTGAGGGGGGGAAAAAAGGACAGTCTTATACCAAAACTAAAACTATCTTAGCAGTTCTAACTCATCGATGATAATTCCAAAATAGGAAATTGAAAAGACAGAAATCACCACTGCTATATCACATAAGCAATGTAAATTTGAACATAAAATGCTTCCATATATTTAACAGCTTAAAAAAAAAAAGCTCAAATAGTACCTACATTAACCAAACTTTTATGAAAAACTGAGACTATAGTTAACAACTAAAATAGCAAAATAAGTTATCACAATATCAAAGACCTTCACTTGCTAGTACATACCGCCAATGTCTTCCCAGAGCCAGTTTGAGCAATGCCCACCATATCCCGACCACTAAGAGCCAATGGAAATCCCTGGCACTGAATTGGAGTTGGTTCTGTAAAGTGCTGATCCATCAACACATCCATTACATATTCTGTAAGAGAATACACGTTCTATTACTTTTAAGTAAAACTAAGGACACAGACAAAAGAGTTTTTAAAACTGCTAAATACACTGAAGGCAAGATTTACCCAACTTTAGTTTTCTCCAAGAAGTCTCTTCCCTCCTCACCCCGAACCCCGCTGGTCTCGGGGTATCACACCTGTAATCCCTGCACTTAGGGAGGTTTGAGGCAATAGGATGGCTTGAGCCCAGGGGTTCGAACCAGCCTGGGCAACTTACCAAGACCTCATCTCTACAATAAATCAAAAAATTAGCCAGGTGTGGTGGTGCACGCCTGTAGTTCCAGCTACTTGGAAGGCTAAAGCAGAAGGATCACCTGAGCCCAGCAGATCAAGATTAAGGATGCCGTGACTATGAGCGTGCCACTGCACTCTAGCCTGGGCAACAGAGTGAGACTCCCAACTCACAGGGGAAAAAAAAAAGTTTTTTCCCCCTTACATGTTGAATCTTTGACCAGTTTACTGCTATCTCTAACAGGCTGCTACTCCAGCCACCTACACCCCCTCAAAAATTTGAAAATCACTATCCTAAAGCATCTAACAGGACATATGTACATGGCTGTCACTTATTGTTTACCACATTCATATTATATCCAGCTAAAAATCAATTTCATTCGGCTGTTTTTCTAAAAGACAGAGAAGTAAAACTTTAATAGATGATTTTTTGAAAAAGGTCTCAGTGTAAATAAAAGAACAGGTGAACATTAAAAAACAAAACAAAACAAAAAAACTCTGATACCCTATATGGTATTTACTACTGGCCCTGAGCAAGTTAAAAACATGCACATATATATACTGGCCAGGTTCGGTGGCTCACACCTATAATCCCAGCACTTTGGGAGGTCGAGGTGAAAGGTTTACCTGAGCCCACAAGTTCGAGACCAACCTGGGCAACTTGGCGAGACCTCATCTCTACAAAAAATAAAAAAAAATTAGCTGGGCATGGAGGCGCTTGCCTGTAGTTCCAGCTACATGGAGGCTGAGCCAGAAGGATTGCCTGAGCCCAGCAGGTTGAGGCTGTGGTGGCCGTGAGTGTGCTCCTGCACTCCAGCCTGGACAAGAGTGAGACGCCAACTCAAAAACAAAAAAAAATACACATTTTTTTGGCCAGGCGTGGTTGGCTCAACCTGTAATCCCAGCACTTTGGGAGGCTGAGGCAAGAGGATTGCCTGAGCCCAGGGGTTCGAGACCAGCCTGGGCAACTTGGTGAGACCTTGTCTCTACAATAAATCTAAACAAAACAAAACTAAACAAAAAAAACTAGCTGGGTATGGTGGCATGCATCTGCAGTTCCAGCTACTTGGAAGGTTGAGGCAGAAGGATTGCCTGAGCCCAGCAGGTCAAGGCTGCAGTGGCCATGAGCGTGCCACTGCACTCCAGCTTGGGCAACTGGAATGAGACTCAACTCAAATATATATAAATACACACGTATTATTACCTTTGTGAAATGCTTCCATTTGTCTTTTCAACAAAATACTGAGCCTGGGTCAAAAAGTTTAAATAATCTATTACCCACGTTTACCATTCAGTCAAATTTATCAATTGAAGTTCTGGACTGGTTAACACTTACGTGGGAAATTAGCATGATGGAAAGCAAACACGGGTTTAGGACAAACATCTCCCCCTCTCACTGTAATCTCTTTCTTTCGGCGTAGCTCATCAACCTCATACTACAAAAGAAAATAAACTAAAACAAATTAGTAAACTAATTATTCTAAACTTTATGTTCCAAGTTAGCTGAATGATGATCTAATCCAGTCACAACGGCAAATATGTATATCTTACATGGTGCTTTCACATATATTACTTCAACTTTGAGAGACTTCTCCTAACTTTCTGAGCTAATTAATGATGCAGGTGATTAAGAGTTCCATTTCTTGTAATCCCAGCACTTTGGGAGGCCAAGATGAGTGGACTGCCTGAGCCCATGGGTTCGGGACCCACCTGGGCAACTTGGTGAGACCTCGTCTCTACAATAAATAAAATAACTAGCCAGGCGTAGTAGCGCACGCCTGTAGTTCCGGCTACTTGGAAGGCTGAGGCGGAAGGATCGTCAGAGTCCAGCAGGGTGAGGCTGCAGTGGCCAGGAGCGTGCCACTGCACTCCAGTCTGGGTGACTCCAACTCAAAAAAAGAAAAAAAAAGTTCCATTTCTGACTGGGCTCACGCCTGCAACTTCAACACTTTGGGAAGCCAGAAGTTTAAGATTAGCCTGGGCAACATTGAGAATCTGTCTCTACAAAAAAATTTAAAAACAGCCAGGCATGGTGCTGCATGCCTGGAGTCCCAGCTACTCAGGAGGCTGAGGCGGGAGGATTATTTGATCCCAGAAGTTTCAAGGAGCTATAATCATATCACTGCACTCCACCCTGGGTGACAGAGTCAAACTCTTATTTCTAAAAAAAATACTCAAGCCAGGCTTGGTGGCTCAAGCCTATAATCCCAGCACTTTGGGAGACAAAGGTGAGAGGGTTGCCTGAGCCCATTCCAGACAAGCCTGGGTAACTTGATGAGACCTCATCTCTACAATAAACCAAAAAATTAGTCGGGCATCATGGTGTGCACCTGTAGTTCCAGTTACTTGGGGGGCTAAGGCAGAAGGATCATCTGAGCCTACAGGTGGAGGCTGCAGTGGCCGTCAGCGTACCACTGCATTCCAGTCTGGGCAACAGAATGAGACTCCAAGTCAATAAATTAAATAAATAAATAAAATTAAAAAAAAAAACACTCTGAATAACTTGTCCAAGGTCAGAACTAGGAAGAGGGAGAAAACATGGAACTTTCCAAGTGCTTTTTCCATTATACTTTCCTCTGGTTAACTCCAAGGGTAGACTCCAAAACCATGAGGTTAAAAAGAGAAGAGTACACAATGTCAATATTATTTATTTTACTTCATAGATGAAAAGACATGATCTAATATATAATACACAGTTTTCCATCATGTATGACAAATAGGCTGAGAGGCATAATCAACAAACGAGAACCAAGCAATACATTAGGTACATATTTAGGTACCTCTTGAGTATCAGTCATAAGACTGTAAGAAAAATATCACCACACTAGAATAAAACATAAAACAGCAATAGCACTATAAAAGTAAAAAGCAGTATACAAGTAAAACACACACACACACTTACCGGAGTCAGCCTTGCTACTTCTGGATGTTCCACATAAAAATTTTTCTCAAACTTGGGGAGCTCACTCAAATCCCACTTCTTTTTACGTAAACGCTCCCCTGGATTACCAAATTTCTTCGGGGGAAGGCCTCCACCACCTCTTGCTCCAAATCTAAATAATCAAAAATATTAGTTGATTACTATTTTTAAAGCAATATATCTTATATGCTATAAAAATCTACAAAAAAGATAGTCTTAGGATGTTATCAGTCCTCCTCCAAAAAAATCATCGTATTATTCTTATTTGAAAGTATGTAAGGCCAGGCACTGTGGCTCAAACCTATAATCCCAGCACTTAGGGAAGCCAAGGCGAGTGGATTGCCTGAGCCCCCTGGTTCAAGACCAGCCTGGGTAACATGGTGAGACCTCATTTCTACAAAAAAAAAAAAACAAAAAAGCCAGGCATGGTAGCACACACCTGTAGTTCCCGCTCTTGGAAGGCTGGGGCGAAAGGATCGCCGGAGCCCAGCAGGTCCACATTGGAGTGGCCATGAGTGCCACTGTACTCCAGCCGGGGGAACATAGTAAGACTCCAACTCAAAAAGTATAGAAGCTGGGCTCGGTGGCTCACACTTATAACCCCTGAACTTTGGGGCAAAGGTGAGAGGACTACCTGAGTCCAGGGGTTCGAGACCAGTCTAGGCTACTTAGTAAGATCTCATCTCTACAACAGATAAAGAAAAGCTATCCAGGAATGGTGGCACAGGCCTGTGGCTCCAGTTACTTTCAGAAGGTTGAGGCTTAAGGATCACCCGAGCCCAGCAGATTGAAGCCGCAGTGGCCGCGAGCATGCCACTGCACACCAGCCTGGGCAACAGTGAGACTCTGACTCAAAAAAAAAAAGAAAGATATGAAGAAGCGTGTAAACATTCCTTAACTATGCAGCAATGTTGGTATGACTATGGTTATCATAAGCAAAAAATTAAAAATTCCTATATTTAAAGAAATGCATCATGGGAATTACAGATTCTGTAACCAGATAGGGTCTAAATTTTGGTCCTGTCATAAATTATTCAACTTCTACACACCTCAGTTTCCTATGCAAAGTAGAATAATAACATCTACTTCAGATGCCACAGTAAAATGAAATGATTATGCGTAAAGTACGTTAAAAACTATCTGGCATAGTAAACACTCAATACAGGTTAGTATAATTGTATTCATTCAACAAATAGTTACTGGGTACCAAATAAGTACCAGTTACTGTTTTAAGTGGTGCTGAAGATTCTAAAGTGAATAAAACAGAGACAAGTCTCTATTCTTGTGTAATAGTCAGACATGTAGAGTAAAGAACATTAGTTTAAGCTTAAATGAAGGACAAGACCGTGGACAGGGAGAAAAACACAGCCTAAGCAAGTCCTCCAAACACAGAACACCTTCTTGAACCCTCTCCCCATTTAAACTGTGATCACTCCTATTGTCTGTTAATCTGCAAAGGAAACCTCTTGGGACCTGTAAAGGACTGGTCAGCTATTCTGGTTAGTGTTCAACTTTAGTTTATGCTCTGAAAAAAGAGCTTGAACAAAGGTTTATGACTTTTTTCCCTCCCTATCCCCACCTTTACCTTACATATAATTTTTGTTCCCAGGCAAACGATACTATTAATTTATAGAAGAAACCATTACCGAGTCTTATTTAACTTAACAGGTTATTTAAAGTCTTTTTTGCCTTTTACATACCCTTTACAAGCTCAACGAGAATATAACTATAGCCATTAGCCAAACATGAAATGCAAGAAATTAGAAGATACTTTCTTCAGAAAATTCCTAACACAAAGATGGTCTTCGTTCCCCTTTTCCAACCTATGTCAAGTGTGAGGCTTTGTTTGGTATACAAATTGCATATGTTATTTTTTCATACGATTTTTTTTCTTTTTCTTTGAGTTGGAGTCTCACTCTGGTGCCCAGACTGAAGTGCAGTGGCCGCTCCCGGCCACCGCAGCCTCGACCTGCTGGGCTCCGGTGATCCTTCCACCTCAGTCTTCCAAGTAGCTGAAACTACAGGCGCACGCTACCATGCCTGGCTAATTTTTTTATTTTTATTGTAGAGATGAGGTCTCACTAAGTTGCCCAGGCGGGTCTTGAACCCGCGGGCCCAAGGAATCCACTCACTTCAGCCTCCCAAAGCATGGGATCACAGGCTGAGCCACCAAGCCCAGCCCATCCGGATTTTCCTAATCCTTATAAAGCACTGCACTGAATTTAATTTCCTTTCCCACCCTAACCCACTCATATAATCATCATCCTTCAGAAAGCTCCACCTTATAACTGACAAGCAGCAGTTATATTAAGGGGTCTTATTTTCCTGCAATTTAAAGCATTAGAACTCTTTGGTTTACCTAGCTAGAAATCTCTCTAAATACAAATATACAAAGATTGACGACAGGAGATTTTATCGGGACCACTGGTTATCTACACTCAATAGGAAGAACTTGGTTAATTTCATTTATAGGACTGATGAACCAGTAAGACAAATTAAGAATCAAAACAGGCCTGGTGCAGTGGCTCACGCCTATAATCCCAGCACTTTGGGAGGCCTAGGTGAGAAGATTGCCTGAACCCACAGGTTCGAGACCAGGCTGGGCAACTTGGTGAGACCTCATCTCTACAATAAATCAGAAAAACAATAAATCAGAAAATTATCCAGGATGGTGGCACAAGCCTGTATTTCTAGCTATTTGGAAAGCTGGGGCGGAAGGATCACCTGAGCCCAGCAGGTCAAGGCTACAGGTCAAGGTTGAGCATGCCACTGCACCTCAGTCTGGGCACAGACTACTACTCAAAAAACAAAACAAAAACAAAATCCAAAAAAAAAGGAAAAACAGAAAGCAGAGGAATATACATACCAATGACATCTTTTTATGTCCTCAGGCTCAAAGCTCAATACTGAACGGTCCAAAAGGCTCACTTCTAAGTGAGGTAGCTCACACAATTCTAAATAAATAACTTTTATTGATTGATGGATTGATTGATTGAGTTGGAGTCTCACTCTGTTGCCCAGACTGGAGTGCAGTGGCCGCTCCCGGCCACCGCAGCCTCAACCTGCTGGGCTCCGGCGATCCTTCCGCCTCAGCCTTCCAAGTAGCTGGAACTACAGGCGCGCTACCACGCCCGGCTAGTTTTTTGATTTATTGTAGAGATGAGCTCATCTGCCCATGCAGGTCTCGAACCCGTGGGCTCAGGCAATCCACTCACCTCAGCCTCCCAAAGGCGCGGGATTACAGGCTGAGCCACTGAGAAGCTTTTTTTTTTTTTGAGTTAAGAGTTTCACTGTCATCCAGGTTGGAGTGCAGTATTTTGATTTATTGTAGAGACAAGGTCTCACCAAGTTTCCCAGGTTGGTCTTGAACCCCTGACCTCAGGCAACCCTCTCACCTAGGCCTCCCAAAGTGCTGCTGGGATTACAGGCTTGAGCCACTGCGTCACGCTTCTAAATAAACTTTTTGAGTCAGAGTCTCACTCTGTCACCCAGGCAGGAGTGCAGTGGCACGCTGCTCACCGACACTGCAGCCTCGACCTACTGGGTTCAGGCAATCCTTTTCCCTCAGTCTTCCAAGTAGCTGAACTATAGGTTTGTGCCACCATACTTAGTTACTTTTTGATTTATCGTAGAGATGAGGTCTCACCATGTTGCCCAGGCTGGTCTTCAACCCACCAGTTCAGGCAATCCTCTCACCTCATTAAGCATGAGCCAGCATACCTGGCTTATAAACTACTTTTAAAGACAATTCTTTAAAAGTCTTGCAAATTAGCCGGGTTTGGTGGCTCAGCCTGTAATCCCTCACTTGGGGAGGCTGAGGTGAGTGGATTGCCTGAGCCCGCGGGGTCGAGACCCGCC